TGGGGTGGCACACATCTCTACAAAATGGTGGCAACCTAGAGAGGAATGTGTAAGCCCCTTTTAAGCACAGCTACAGGAATTTTAAAAGCAGTGTGACTGTTATGCTTAGGATTGGCTTACACAAGTGGCAATCGCATTAGTACATTTCTAATTGGTCAGGGCTAGCAAGGATGGGCCAAGGCTGTGGCTTTTCCATTCTTGGGCAAATCTGAACAAGTCCTTATTTGATTATCGTGGGGGGGGGGGCTTCACCTCAGGTGTAGGAACTGAGGCCTAGTTCTTAAACTGTCATGATATTGCCTGGCCCTCTCATCTAGAACCCAGGATCTAACAACCCCAGGATCCAGGACCTTGAAATGGATTCTGCTCTGGAACCTGCTTGTTTTTCTGTAAAATGAGAACTCAGTCAAAATATGTAAAGCCAACAGGATTGTTTGGGGAAATCTGGAGGTGAGCAGACCCTGGGGATAATCACCTCCCTCGTGTTCCATCGCGTTCCCACAGGAGCTGCCGGCTCAGGTCACTGCCCACCCACCCACTCCTCACCTTCCTGCCCTCAGCCCTGTAAGTCAGGCCTCTCCACACCCCAGCCCGCTTACTGAGCCCTCTGCCCTCCAGCTGTTTCACTTCTTATTTAGGCCAGGGATCAAATGGAGGGCCTTGTGAATCCTGGTAGGCTTTCTACTACTGAGAAATTCCCTTGATTCCCAAATTTAAATTATTTTACATAAATATGATTTACAATAGACTAAAGTCCCAATACTAGGACTTCTCTGTCTCCTGCCACCTGCCATTTGGGTGGTGGTGTCAGTGAGGACCATTGACAGCTTCAGCCAGTGAATACAGGCCTCCTATACATCGCAAAGATGAGCAGCAGGATTTTCCCTGCCCGCTGTGCAGCTGGCGGAAGCCCTGGCTCTGTGACTATTCACGGTGACACTCAGACCAAAGCACGGTTGCAGAAGGCTCACGGGCAGTCTAGTGTACCAGTGTGTCAAGCACATCCTGGGCTGAGACCATTCCCATCTGAAAGTGACCTGTGGCACGCAGCTAGTCCAGGAGAAGGAGGAAGGGAGGAGCGACAGCAGATGGCCCCAGAGGAACTTGCTGCCAGGGTTTACAGGGTGTGGACTTGGGGAGGAGGCTGGGAAAGGGTACACAAGGTAAATTGAGGAACCTAGGAAAGCCAGGAGGTAAGAATTGGAGGGCCATGGCCGGGGGTTACTGGAGGCAAAGGGTACAAAGCCTGTGGGCTGTGTCCCCCAATTCTATCTGGAGGGGCTGAGAAAGGAGGACCCAGTGACAGAAAGGTAGCGTGGAAAAGATTCAGGAAGGGGAGTACCAAGAGGCCTGGAGCCCAAGAACCTAGCAGGAGGCCAGGCTTAAGTGCTCAGGATCATAGGAATGTACGTGGGACAGGCCAGGAACACAGTCCAAAGAGCTCTTAGAGTGTCTGCGGCTGACATCATCTAAGTTACTTTCTGCAAGTCATGGCAGGAGGCCTAGCTGAAGGCGGTGCCAACCCCGGAGGCCGGCAAGGGCTCCTGTGATGAGGAGTCCACAGAGCCCCACATGCCCAGGAAAGGCAGGGTCCCACACCTGAGCAGCCTCCTGTCTGAGGACCCCTTCCCTCCTTCCTGCCTTTAGATCTGAGGGGACCAAGAAAGCAGGAGCGAAGCAGGAGGGTCTCCTTGGCCTTGCAAACCTGAACCACAGAACCACGAACCCAACCCCTCCACCTCCAGTGACCTCTCCCTCAAATCCCTTCCGTTTACATTTGATCCTCAAAGCGCCCCTCTTCCCTAGTCACCGGAGCCACCCCAGTCCTTGAGCCTTGGGTGCTCAGGACCAACAGGGCCTGCCATATCATGGGGCCCAGCTGACCTGAGGTCCTTGTTTGAGTCAGTCAACAAATATTTACCAAGAGCCTCACAGGATTCAGAGTGACCTTTAGAAAACTGTGAAGTCACCCACTTGGGGACTGCCTCCTACCAGACCTCCTGTGGGCTCAGCGATCTAGAGTACACTGGGCAGAAACCCCTCCCCCACAGGTCAAGTTCATGGGGGAAGGATTTAGAGCTAGGGCCAAAGGCTCACTGAGAGGTGACTTTGTGGCCCTGGCCTACAGGAGTGGAGGATAAAAGTGGACAGGGTGACACCGGGTGAGACCTGTTTCCATAAAAACAATATGCTTCCGGGTTTATGGAATGGGGGAGCCCCACCCCACCATCCAGTCACACCGGAAGAGCCAAGCTGGCTTGGGGACAGAGCCTAGGTCCTTCACTCAGGCAGCTGCAAGGCCAGGAGATTGGTGAGGAAGGCTTCCTGCCAGCACACGGTGACGGTGCAGTTTCCTGATCCGCAAGGCTCAGGACTCAAAAAGCCCAGGCTGAGGAGGTCTCTGGCACCGGGAAACATCCAAGGGAACCCGAGCTACAGCCCAGGAACTGGATCTATGGAGGATGGGGGGACTAGAGTTCCGGAATACCCCTGTGGGGACAGCGGTGCTGGCATGGCCTGGCCTTTAGGGCACACCTGGAACTGCTCGGTCCTTTCCCACTAGTCCAAGACTTTGTAGAAAATCGAGAGTCCCTCCCCTGAGTTGTGCCTGTGTTTGCAATCAACAGTGCTAAACTGACTTCCGAAGAAGAAAGAGGCCAAAGGGGACTGCCACATCCTTGAGAAAGGCTTGGACGTCACAAAAAGGACGCCTTTTTGCTCCTTCCCCTCTAACCCAGAATTCCACAGCTGGCTGGGAAGGCCCTTGGTAAAGAAAGCCACCAGCAGAAATAGGGCGGACTCAGCAGGCGGGCACCGTTCAACCCCACCCACAGGCTTGTTTACAACAGTCTCCAGAACAGTTTGTTTGGACCCGGAGAAATTGCCTGCTGCTGCAGCTGCCCCGCCCTTGTCCTTCAGCATGGTGAAGGTCATCTCTGCTGAGGAAGCTCCCGGAACCCTCGCTGTCCCACCAAGAAAGGACAGTCACAGCCCTGGCCTCCAAGGCCCCCTCACCTCTCCCCTCAAATACATTCTAGCCCAAGAAAAACTGCCCTTGAAGACCAGGAGCCTCTGTACCTACCATATTGCCCTTGGGGACTGGGGATAGTCGCTACTGCTCCTGTTTATTCGTGGCCAAGCAACCGGGCTTTTATAACCCTGGTTTGCGTGACACCAATTAGTCCTAGGCTACTCATTCAAAAATAAGCCTTAAAAATTGCTCCTGAGACGGAGGAATGGTGTGTGAGGGACATTTAGAGACCAGAGGTAAAGAAGACATCGTGGGCTCTGGAGGTGGCTGAACAATCAGCACTCAGCACTTCAGAGACAGAGCTGTCACCACAGCCTGGGCCTGCAAAGCCGCGGGGAAGCCTCTCCCACTTGGTTTCCTAGCTGCCTCCCAGCTTTCTAGAACATTTTGTCAAGCAACTCCCTGTTCTTTAAGGCGGTCACCACCCCCATCACCCACGTCTGGAAACACTGCCAGGATGAAGCAGAGGGGACAAAGGCAGACATAGTGGGAAAGTTCCAGCACTGGAAAGGTTGAGGAAGGAGGATTGTCGTGATTTCCAGGCTAGTATAGGCAAAAATGTCTGAAACTAAGAAAAAATGGGGAAGAAGTAAATCAATAAAAGACTGATAGGAAAGTCCTTGGGGAAGGACTCTACGTGGCACAGAGCAGGCTCAGCAGGCACAAGAGAACAAGCCAGCGCTTGCCACATAATCTCCCTCTGTACTGCTGGTCATGTGAGAGTCACCGGTTTTCCGGGAACAGGGAGTGCAGTCTAGGCCTGGCCCCGCCTGCAGATTCCATCTGCCGGAGGCAGAACATTCTCCGCCCTGGTTTTCCCCTCCCGGTTGTCAAGGGAGCCTGTTGTTACAGGGTGGATTTGTTTGCAGCGTGGGTGGTGAGCCTGGGAGGAGACTTCCGGGCAGTTATCCTGCCAACTGCCTTTTTTTCGGTTTACTTGAATTGTCCTTCCAGTTTTTTTTTTTTTTTTTGAAGGGGGGAGTAGGGGTCAGGGGACACCAGAGCCGAGGAGGTGGCTCAGGCTGTGTCTGGGGCCCTCACTGGCACGGGAGGTGACAATTCCCTTTTCCAGAAGCCTCACTAAACCCCCATCTCTCCCTGCTCAGCTAAGGTTTGCGGGCAAAGTCTACTTTTGAACCTGGGCTGGGCCCCACCCCAAGTGAACAACCAGTCTGCACCCCCAGTGGTCTTCAAACCCACTGTTTGTGACTCCACCACAGGCTATAAACTGTCGCAGAATGCAGTTTAAAAAATAATTATTTTTCTCACCATCCCACACCCAAAGGAAGATGATTTGCGGCATGTCCTGCAATCATTCACATTATAAACATACGCTCATTCTGTGTGTGTTTCGTCCAAAATCCCTGCTTTTACCGCAGCTCGCAACCACCTTCCCCCCCCCCCTACAATTACTGCCTCAAGACGCAAATTAAGCACCCTACCTAGCTGCTGAGCTAGCTCCACCTCCCCCACCCTCGCCCTGCTGGCGCCTGCGCTGACGTCACCGGCCGAGCAGGAGGTGACAACGCCCGAAGACTCATGCACCAGGGCCCCGCCCCGCCCCCACGCCACCGCAGAGATCCCTCCGCCACCCAGTGGAATTTTCCAGGCGCTCTGCCGGATCTTCTTTCGGGCCTCTGCGGGGCGTGGTGACCTGAGGTGACCTGTATTTTTCCTTCTGCCCTGCCAGCCAGTGTGGCCCCCGCCGATGCGACCCTTCTGGAAGCAGTCAGGCCTGCCCTGGGGTGGGCAGCAAAGGAGACCTGTCCCTGATACTGTCCCCTCCCGAATATCTTCACACACGTCCTCCATCCCGTGACACACTGCTCAGGAAAGGATCCTTGAGCAATCAGAGGGAGTGGCCGTCGATGGAGGCCATGACCCGCCCCTCGTGGGCTCCTCTGACTAGGTCGGGGAGGAACTTTTTTTTTAAGTGTCCGTGGAGGAATCGTTCCGTTGAGCAGTGACCGGGTGACGCGACCCAAGGCTATAAAAGCAAAAGTTGTGGTCCCTATCAGCAGGAGTTAGTGACAAGGAGGGCTGCCGTATGGGTTTAGCAGAGGGGAGGAAGTGGCTAGTTCAGGGCTCAGATGAGATGGCAGAGCTAGAGGCAGACGCTAGCATGAGGGTGGGAGGAGGGAAATGTACTAGACTAGATCCCTACCTCTTTGGGTTTCTCGTGGTAGATCCACAGACTAGATTTGGGGACAGTGGTCGTGTGGACGGCAGCTTCCAAAGCGCCTTCAACAGTCCACACCAGACTGGCCCTGCGGTCTGCTGGAGTGGGGGAACCTGACTCTCACAGGGGCCTACATGGACCCAGTGTTGTAGAGCAAGTGATGTAGACTCGGGCCCTTGAGGCCCTGGATCTCCTGGAAGATTGGCAGTGGGGTCAGCTTTGAACTTGACAATGGCAGCAGACCCTTTTTTTCCAGATAGGGGTTGTGAACCCGCCTGGGAATGAGGCCTGTCCAATGGACCCTGGACTTAGCTGAGAGCTCTGCCCCGGGTGGTATGTAATTTGGGCGTGGCCTCACAGCACCCATTTCTGGGTGCGAGGGGTGGCCTGAGGAGTTGTCTTTAAGATCTGCTAGGTGGGGCCCACGGAGATGAAGGCGGCTTGGGGCCACGTTGACCTCAGCTTTATCTTTCAGGTGGCAGTTCCCCTCTGGACTTTCCCTAGGTTCCGAGGCACTCTCTTCTGTGAACTCCCTCCTCCCCTTCTCATCCCTCTAACTCTGAGGTTATGGGTTCCCTTAACCTTGCCTCTGGGTTATCTGGTAAGCCTGGGGAAGGTAGAGAGGCGGAGTTGGCGTCTTGGACTCGGTGTTTTGGTACTACTGGGAAAGTGGAGGACACCCTGACTTGGGAGGGGAGGGGAGGGTGGGCTCACAGCCATGGTTTCGGTCACCCGAAAGAACGCCTCATGGACGAGGTTTATTACTGTAGTGTTCATCATGGCAAGCAGATGGCACCAGGAGAAATGGAACCCCTGCAGTGCAGGAGGGCAGACCCTGGAGGAGACGGCGACCTAAGCTGATGCCTACACAGTGAATTCCAGAGCTTAGGAAGTCCTGCACTGCCATGTGTCCAGGCCTTACTCAGGAAGGCCGTCATCTTAAGTGGTTCAGATCAGCCTATGGGGTTGGGGATGGGCAGACGCTTCCAGCTGGCGGGGCTGTCGGCCATGAATGTTCCGGATGAATGTCTTGTTCTGGGAGCCTCATTCTCCGGATGCATGAATGCTAGCCAGCACCCTCCTTCCTGGGGGTAGAGGCATTCAGCTGCTGTATCTTCTAAATCAAGCCTCCAGTCTTTAGTTCTGTGCGACAAACTTGGCTTCGAGAAGATTGCTTATGGTGTAGAACACTTAACTCTGATGCCCTCAACGCGGCATGGTGCCTCGTAGATGGTGTTTGCAGGAGGAGCCCAGTGACCTCGCCCACCTTTCCTGCTTCTGCAGCCTGCAGGCCTCTGCATTGCTAAGGCATTAAGTGTGATTAAAAACTTTGGGGATTGGGGAAAGCTGTTCAATTTCAAATGCTGAACTGGAAGAGTATTAGCTGATTGTTAAAATGGTTGGGGTGTCGTGTTTAAAGAGTATGGGAGGGTACAAGTTGGCTGCAAGTTCTGTTGGGATATGTATATGGCATGTCTACTTGCGTTGGGATGGCATCTGGGATTTTCTGTGGGTTCGGTTTTGGTACTGGGTGGTGAGCAGGTGTTACCCTACTGAGTGACCATTGTTATCGTTTCTTTTCATTTCTGACTTGGGGCCTGGCAGCCTATACCAGGCTGGCCTTGGCGCTCAACACTGCTGGGATTAGGGGTGTCATCTAAAACTTCCAGCTTAAACTTGAGTTTTACTGGGTCAGGCAGGCTTCAGAGGTAGGATTGCTGGGGCAAGCAGGGCTCAGCTTGGCATTGGTGTCTTGGCCAGAGGCTCGGTGAGGGATTGGGGTGCTGGCAAGGGATGTGGCTTGATGGGAGTGACGATTAGGGAACTAAATGGCTCACATAATGAAAATGTAGAAGTTGCTGGTAAATCCTTACTGTGGGTGAATGAATTGTTGAGGTGCAGTAATGGTTGCCTGGAAAATACCAATCAGGAAAAACAAAATTGATTTGCTCTGCTGTTGAATGGAAGATGGTGTCAAACTCAAGAATGCCCAAAACACACACCAGCCTGTGGAGGTGGTGGAGAGGTGCTGAGGAAGGGTTTGTGAATGCCTACATTGTGGGCTCTTAAAGGCATTGGCCTTTGTACTGGAGGTTGACAGATTCTGCTGGGTTTATAATTCAAATTCTTTCATACTGTGTGGTTAAATTCTAATGCTATTATGCCTAAAGGAATTTAATTTGCAAGTCATGTCTTATATAACACTACAGGAATTTAATTGCAACCCATGCCTTATGAAACATAATGAATTTCCGGGATTGGCTAGGAGACAAAAGTTGTTGCTTACTTGACTAACAAATCAGTCATTGTGACAGGGAACATGACCATGCACGTGCTGTGAAATTACTGTGTACCTTTGCTAAGGCTGTAATGAAAATACGGTGTTTAGCTTGAATGGTGCTCCCAACCATCCCTGAGCAGAGGGGAAACTGTAACTGTCTGTCAAATGAGTTTGGGAAATAAAAGTCAAACTGGGGGTTGCTGGGGACATCTTACTAGAAAATGGTCTGTAAACATTGAAAACCCTGGGTGTAATGTAACTGTCTTTCCCCAATCCTGCTCAACCTCGGGACTTTGTCTTCGGGTTGGTGATTTGTGTATTGTGTTTTATTTGTTTTAAAGTCATGGTGTGACCAGGGAATGACACTGGGTCAGCAGAGTGTTGGTCACCTTGGAATGGGAAATGGGGGGAGCTGTAGGTCACAGCACCTCTTTGTTCTAATCATCTTTCTCCTTTACAGCAAAATAAAGGTTTGAGATTGAAACACCTTGGAACCCTTGTATCACTGTTACATTCTTGACCTCTGTCACTTTGAGAGTTCCAGGCCTAGACTTAGCTCTGTCATGGAGCCAGTGAGAACCGGTCACCTTCCCCCTGTGAGAACTGGGGGGAGGGGCTGCTCACTGTTGGGAGCTGGTAAGGAAGTGTTCTGGACATTATCCAGAGCATTTCCAGGTTGTATTTCAAACTGGTATTTCATGTCTTCATGAAACTGGTGTGGGCTTGATTTGGGCAATTTGTAAATCCTATCTGCCTAAGGAGTTGGACTTTATTTATCTTCAGGTACGTGACTAAAGTCACTGGGAAGGGTGTGGGCAGAAGCCCTTGGAATCCAGGGAGTGTATCTGGAGCCAACCTGTATGTGAATTGGCCTATTGGTGTCTCATTACAACTGGAAAATGTTGCTGCTCAGGCAGATTTTAAGCTTAGGACATTACCATGGTAGGACTGGAATCTGGCAGTTACAGTGAACCCTTGTCTATGTAAGGATGAGTCTTGAACTGGAGTGGGGTGGGGACCAAACAAAGGATGAGGAGTGGCTTCCGTCTTTCCAGCTCGGGTGACCAATTCCTTGTACGGAGAAGCCAGAGTGGGGCGTCTCAGGAGCTTCCTGTCTGGACTTGTGGGACTACCAAGAGTAGGTGCTGCTGCAGCTGAGAACAGCTCATCTCCACCCATACTTTTTTTCCCCTTTTTACTTTTGTATTTCAAAAGGTCTCACTGTAGCCCAGACTTGACTTAAAATTTAAAGATCCACTAGCAGCTGCCTCCCAGGTGCTGGGGTTGGAGGTGCACTGCTTCTCCTGGTCTCCCTACCCTTTCTAGGCTGGTCTGTTCTAGCCTCTTTTGGCTTCTTACCTGGTTTCTACACCTCCATCCCCTTTTCCAGAACTCTGGTTTTTATGTTGTTACAAAGTTCTCTGTGTTCTGTGGCAGTGGGCTGGTAAGGAGTTCACCCCCAGCTAATTAGAAGTGGTATAGAGACAGGATAACCGGAGGCTGAGCAATCCTGTGTGCAGACTTGGAGGGCTGTTGGTTTGGGGTTTGTTATTTGAGAGCCCAGGTTGGTGTGGAACTCTGCAATTTTCCTCCCTCAGCTTCCCAAATGTTGGAGATGCAGACATGAGCCGCACTATCCTACAAGGACTGGTCTTTGCCCTGGGGTCCTGGACTATTGGGTGGCCACAGACAAGTCTGGGTATAGGCTCATTCTTTGAACTCCCAGAGGTAGCAGTTGACCTGGAATTTAGTACTGAGGCTGATCCTGTATGAATGAGAAGCAAAGGTTGTGTTGGTTTTTTTCTTTTTTAAAAGATAAATGGAGAGGCAGCAGCCGCTGGTTGACTACACGGCGACTTCAGATGTAGCCTGTTACAGAGAGACCTGACACCTGCCATTTAGTTTGTCTTATGATAGTAAGAGACCAAAAGAAACTTGAATGTGGGCTAACCTGTGGTCATTGTCGTGGGCTGCAGAAGCATTAGTCCGTGGTGGTGTCCATGTCTTAGCTGCTGTTACTGAAGGAAGGAATGAAGGTTCTTCCAAACGACTAGTATTTGTATATTCATCTCAATATGGTTGCAGACTGGGATTGTTAAGGAAAAGAAAACTAATAAACCAAAACAAGAAAGATATTCCCATGAGTTCCTGGGCCCTTCCTTGGACGGGATGCCCTCGCATCCCTCTTTCCTTCCCACACTGCTCGAGGATGAAGAGGATTTACTGTAAATATCGCAAATGGGGGGAAAGCTCATTTATGTTCCATTAACAAGCGTTACTGGCATTTGTTTCGGATTTTTCTTTTCCTGGGCATCAGCTATATGTGTGTGTACTTTACACAAAAAGTTGGATTGTGGTTAAATACTGTCCTGTGATGCATAGTGAAAGCCTTGTCTTGATGGCCAGAGCATCCTTTTGGTACCAAATGCTCCATTGAATGACTGTCTTAAACAACCTCATGTAAGTGTTGATGAATGAGGGGAGGTCAGAGGATGACTCTCAGGTTTGGTTGCCGCTAGGTTCACACAGCAGTCGCTTTTCCTGCCAGGCAGGCTCACCCATCTGCCTTCAGCTAGTTAACTTTTAGGAAATGGTTTGTGTTGGAGCCCAAGCTTTATCCTATCTGAGATATTCAGGTCAGTTCTGGAAGGAAATGACTGTCAGTCCTAACTCCAGGCTCATATTGCTCCGTTGCTGTCCAGAGGGATTTTTTGAGGTACTTTCCGTGAAGCTGGTGTGTGTGTGTGTGTGTGTGTGTATGTGTGTGTACTCCGAGCGATGTGACTGGCCAGTATGCCTGGGTGCTTCATGAACCCGACTCCTTTTGTGTGTCATTTGCGCTCACAGCTATCACTAGCAGGTTATTCAATGGATTGATCAATTACTTGCAGCAGGTTATTTCAATGGATTGATTGATTACTTGCTACTTTAACATTTTTGTGGTGTGATACACTGAAGAGAAGTTTTAGCCGTTTGTAAGTGTACAGTTTAGTGTGTTACACAGATTAACTTGATCAACTGACCTCCAGACCTTGCAAAACCTGAAACTACCCGCCAGGTGGGCTCTCTTCTCAGTCCCTTTCCGCTCTGTTTCTTTGAGTGGCAATTCTGGATCCCACATGTATGTGGAGCCACCCAGTGTTTATCTTTTATTACATTTATCTTCATGTGTAGGCATGTGTGTGGAGGTCAGGACAGTCAGCAGGAGCCGGTTCTCTCCTGGTTGTTTCTGCCTCCCAGTATGCATCTTGACTCGCTGTTTTGATCACAGTATCTGTGCAGTTTATCTTGGTGTGTGATTTTCTTTGCTTCCATACAAGCTAGATAATTGATATTTTGTACATTTTTTTGGCATCTGTGTTCTGATGAGCACACTTGGAGTTCTCCTACCCCCAGGCCTGTTGCCGTTAGGACCTCACTGCGGTGGGGATGGTGCACGGATACGTCTTTCTGAGACCATTTCCTCCTCTTTAGGATACAGTACAACCATGGTGGATGTCAGGTGACATTTCATTGTTGTCTTCCATGTACTTATTGATCGTGTAGATTTCTTCAGAAAACGCCATTCAGGTCCTTGTCATATTTAAAAGGCTCGGTTATTACCATTGTTGACCTGCAGGATTGTCTGTATTATGAATATTAACTCTTATATGATTCGGCTGATATTTTTCCCCATTCCATAAGTTGCCTTTCATTATGTTCTGTTGAGGTTCTTTTGTAGTTTCGTATATTGTTTTTTGTGCGTGTTTGTGAATTTGCTCATAGGTGTGCCTGTGCCAGCACCCCTGAAGGTCGGAGGACAACTCGGGGTAGATTCTATCCTTCCACCCTGTGGATCTGAGGTCTGAACTCAATTGTCCATCAGGCTTGGCAGCAAGTGCCTGCGCCTTTGGTGTCATATCTAAGAAATCATTGCTAAGTTCAACATTGTAAAGTCTTTATTCTTCCTTTAGTTGTTGTTTGAGATAGGGTTTCTCAGTAGCTATGGAGCCTGTCCTGGAACTCACTCTAGTCCTGGCTGGCCTTGAACTCACAGAGATCAGCCTGTCTCTGCCTCCTGAGTGCTGGGATTTAAGGCATGTGCTGCTGCTACCACCACCAGCTAATTAAAAGTGCTTTGTATTAATCCGCATTTCTGTAATTATCGTCAGGTAGTCCGAGAGTTTATCACTTGACCCACTGCCCGCATTTCCCCACAGTCTCTGGTGAGAGGACCCTGCAGTGTGTGTAGTTGGGAGGGTCGGCTGGCAGTCCTGTCGTATCTATTGCCTTATTTTCCTCTTGTGTTAAAACCAAGATGTATGTGATGTACAAGGACTTAAACCATGTAAGTCTGACTATAACTGTAAGTTGCCTGGAGTCAGTGGCTTCTCAGTTTTCTTCAGCTGCTCATGCCTGGGCTCGATCTGTCAACACAGATAGCCTTCTCGTGCTGTGGATTCCTTCTGCTGCTAGGAGTGATGGCGGGCAATTGCTCCGGTTTCCCAGGGCCAGGCTTTCGTAGTCATTGTCTCAGGCTCTACTGTAGAAACAGAATGAAATTGACCGTTTAAAAGTTGTCAGGAAGGTGCTGTGACACTCCATAAGTGTCCTCTCTTCCCTGTTGAAACTTAGTGCACAGACTGGGTTAATCCTAATCTTTGGCACAGTGTGGCTCTTTCATTTGCTTCCTCATTTTTAATAACTTGTCAACATGTCTGACTCTTCTATCAATATGAAAAGCAGGGCAGTGGGAAAAGTCATTTTCTCCCTCTGTGCCTGTCACATTGCACCCTGAGGGTCTCGCAGGCCAATGTCATACTAAAAAAACCTTATCCAAATGAATTTTTCAAAGCATAAAATTTTCTGTTATTTGTAACTTTGTAGAAGAATTAAGTTGTCTGTAATCTTCTGGAACTTTCTTAATTGGATAAATTAATCTCTTTCCTGCTATTTACAGAATTTGTGGGGTCCCCATGATGGTGCCTGGGTGGGTTCTCCTGAAGTTTCATCAGAGAAGTAACTCCAACAGAACCCGGGTTGAGCACCCCCACAACCCCGAGGTAGCCATTATTACCGATATGCTGTGTCCTGCTGGTCTGTTCCTGTGTCTTTATGGGAGACAGGCTGCATCGTTTTCTTGTGTTTAACGTTAAGATGGCACTGCCCACTGTCTCATCTCGTGACACGATTTTGCTTAGGAGTAGAGTCCTGTGAGCATACAGCTGCCCCATTCTTACCCTGGCTGCTAGTGACGGAAGGGTCCTCTCTGTTACAGAACTGACAGTTGTACTGTGAGATCTCCACAGGCAACCCCTGTGCCTCAGTGTCGAGTGGGTAGCAGTCGTGGGTCAGACAAATGCTCTATTCTGTTGTCCTCCAGAGATGGACAGGCCTGTGTACCCGAGTGTGAGAGTCGTTTTCATGTCTTCCTAGGCCCTTCACACATGGAACTTCACATTTCTCCCAGTTTTCTTGGCTCTGTCTCATATGCACAGTGACCCCCCCATGACTACCTGGTATGTGAGATATTGTCATCTATGTGTAAACTTAAGAACTGTGACTTAGTTATCAGGGACCTCATGGTCCAAGACACACACACTCAAAATGTAATTTTGCCAAGGTACAGTTGTTTAAATCACTCTGCCCTGAAACAGCTGAGCGCATCCAGCCTGGAGCTTGCTGACCCCGTCACACTGGCTCTCTCTGCTCTCGTATCAGAGGAGCTCTTCTAGGCCAACCAATTGCAGATTTCGGTAATGCTGGACCGACGGTTCTGTGGGCACTGTTGTAGGGCATGGGATGGGCTGTGAAGTACAATTGTGATAACTTATAAATTACTAGTCATGAACTTAGAAGTAAAATACTTAGAAAAAAACCCAACGTGTCATCTTGATGTTCCTCTCCCATGACAGTTGTCAGGACTTATTCCTAAGACACCTCCCCTTCATGAATTTATCTAATATTACTGCTTTTAAATGAAATCGTGCGACATGCAGTATACTTACAGCTCTATAATATTTAAACTTGTCATGTAGGGACAGTAATTTTGACCCTTTTTCCTACTGATGCCTTCAGGCTATTTCTAGGCTGTTCTGGTCATTGCAAGCAGTGATCACTGAGTTTTTATTCCTTGGGACACTGGTTTGGGTATCAGGTATGAAGGAGGCTGAGGACTCCCGGCTGGCAGCTCCAGAGTGCTTTGGCTCCTTCGCTCTGGAGTCTGGAACTCTCGGTTTTGTTCAGTGGATAGTGTTTCTACAGCCAAAGTCAACTCCTGGTCTCCCACCAGCCACGGAGTTCTGTTAGGGCGGTTGAGTACCTCACACTGGATGTCCCTATCAGAATTAGCATCAGGTTGTGGCGGAGTGATAATGGATTGTGAGTCTTAGGCGGCTTCCGGGTTCTCACCTCAAGCAGGATGAAAACAAAAGTCAAACCAAGACATGATAATGCACACCTGCCATCCCAGCGCTGGGACAGCGGAGGCAGGAGGACCGGGGTCTAAGGCCAGCCTCTGCAGCTGGGCCTATAGAAAACCTAACGGGAAAAAGCCAACTGTTCTAGGAAGGTGGCTGTGACACTTAGGAAAAGCTCCACTCAGTCTCACTCGTTTCTGAACTGCCGTGGCCTTCAGTACATCCATGCCACTTTCTAGATTAAGGGTTCTCTGTCCTCTAAGGCCACCAGGTGCCAGGAGAGCGGGTGTGAGCTCCCTCTGGCTCTTCCTTGCCTCTCAGGGTCCTAGAGTGTTAGACACTGGATAGTGGGGCCAGCTTCTGCCTGGCAGCCTCTTCCTCTCCTGAAGGCCATGCTGGGCTCCTCCTTCACTCTGGTGAGCAGCCCACTGTCCCCTCCGCTGCTCGTGTGTGTGACCCCAGAGCGAGGCCTTGCCTTACTCCGCTGCTGTTGGCCACTCAGCAGATTTCCTGCAGTTGTGCTAAGGTGACTCTTGTTCCTGTCAGAACTCCAAATGCATAGGTGACATGGTGAGCTCTGTGGGTGCACAGTGTGACAGGGAGGGGTGCAGGGCTGTTGGGCTAACGGCTGTAGTCACATTTGAACTGCTCACTCCCACTCTGGGGAACAACTGGGCTGTTTCAATGAACATTAAGTTCACATTACTAAACACTAAATGCCTATTTATATGTGTCTTCATGTGTGTAAGCAAGTATGTCCATGGGGGACCTGGGGCGCACAAAGATGCTGCCAGCCTTCTGGAAGATGGTTCCAGTTGGCTTTTCCCCACCCACGCCTTTACCAGTGCTTGTCCCTAAACTTGGTTATTTGTCAATGTGAGAAGTGAAGGATCTTTTTGATTGTAGTTTTGATTAGTATGTTTACTGGCTTACAACTACTCTTTAGCCATTAAGGAAATTAACAATGTTTCTAATACTTCTGCTACTCTCTGACTCGTTAATGTTACGTTTTGCTGTTCAGCATTTAGAATATGTGCATGTACTTATTTATTGGTAGTTTTTCTTGCTTTCTGATTTTTATGATGAGCTCGGAAAACTTGTTCTAATTCAAGATGATTCTTTGGTAAACCCCATGCTTTGTCTCATGCCTTTTAAGATTTTATTTCTGTTGTTTCTATCTGGACTTAATTTTGTTGTAATGAGTGGTGTGTGAACAGGAAACCTTTTGTTGCTACACGTAACTGAATAACACAGCCATTGATCACTGCTTGGCATGGTCCTGTGTCAGTTTCAAGTCTAAATGTTACAGTCTGCTTTGATATATGGTAAGGGCAGTCCTACCTTGTAACTGAACCTTTCTAGAATTTTCCTGGCCATTCATGTGTGATTATTTCATTTTCCTTATGGTGTCTTGATTTCTTCCTATACAAGAATAAAGTGTGTCTTTTCATTTCCTGCCAGTTACTTAACCTAATCTGACTTCAATATTTTTACACTTGTGTTTATATGCGTGCAGTGTAGAGGTCAGAGGGCAATGCTATCAGATTGGCTCTCCTTCCTCTACTTAGCTCTGGCATTGAACTTAGGTTGGCAGGCTTGACAACAAGCACCTTTACCTCCTGAGCCATCTCAGTGGCCCTGACTTTGTATGTGTGATTGGGCCAGATGTGGTGGCTCATGCCTTTCATCCCAGCAATTGGGACGCAGAGGAAGGTGGATTTATGTGTTTGAGGGCAGCTTGGTCTATAGAATAAGTTTCAGGACAGCCGGAGCTACACAGAGAAACCCTGTCTCAAAAAACAAACAGCTAGGGCATCATCAGTGCTAGCCTGTGGCCTTAGAGATCTGTGATTCAGCACCTTGGTCTGTCCACCTATGTGTCTGGATGTCTTAGTCTGCCCCCTGCAGGTTCTGTCCCTTCCAAAACAGTAGCTTCCATCATAGAATATACTTTTATTTTAAAATTACATTTCTTAATGTGTGGGGGGGAGGAGTGATAAGTGCCATGAGGCACATGTGCAGGTCAAGGGACAACTTGCATTCCTTCCGTTGTGTGGATGGTAAGAGTCAAACTCAGGTTGTCAGCCGTGGTGCAGGCCCCTCAGTGACCCACAGAGTACTTTTCTGTCTTTATTTGTGGTGGTCACTTATTGCTGTCACATTGTCAGTGTCCAGTTTGGTGGCCTTTGTTAATGACATGAACCGAAACACACTTTTGATAAAAATGCCAGTGAGTTTATGTAAGCCCAATAAATTGCACCCAAAAAGTAGGCTTGGTTGTGCACCCTTAATCCCAGTGCTTGGGAGGCAGATTCAGACAGATCTCTGAGATTGAGGGCAGCCTGGCCTACAGAGTAAGTTCTAGGTCAGCCATGGCTACATAGTCTCAAAAAACCACTAACACCCCTCCCCCCAAATAGAATTGTACCCACGGTCACAGGGAAATTTCCTGTCCCATGAGTGTGGGTCCCTCCTGGGAAATTGTGTGGACACAGAATGTCTGAATGGAGTCTTTAGCACCAGGACATGGCTGCTGTGTTCCACTCTGACCTACCTTTTCCTGCTCCCAGCTTGCTTGAACTTTGAACAAAATGGTATTAAATTGTAGTTTTGACTGGTATATTTAGCAATTTATAGGTGCTCTTTATACATGAAGGAAACTAAACATTTGTGTTGCAAATACTTCTGTACCTCTCTGGCTTTTACATTTTATGGTATTTTGCTGTTTGGGTGTTTTAAATATATAAAAAAATCCATTTATTAGAAATTTTTTCTTGCTTTCTGCATTTTATGACTCAAAAGCTTGGTCTAATTCAAGACTTTTTGGGTGAACCCCATGCTTTGTCCCATTACTTGGCTCTATCTGGACTTAGGTTGGTGTGCTGAGTGGGGACAGTAAGCCTGCCGTGGCTGTACATTTACTGAGCAACACGGGATGAAACGGTCTGGCCTTGCCAGGCTTCTGAGGCCTCAGTGCCAGCTCTTTGGTGTCTTGCGCCTGCCACCGTGAAACCTTGTCCAGTGGGGCACATGGAACTGCGTTCCTGTGCTTTTAGGGTTGAGGAGGGGACTGTTGGTCACCTCCTTAACTGCCCTCCTGGTAGGGATCTCCTGTCGGTTCCCTAGGGTAACACACCCTTCCTCCCTGAGCCTCATTGTGTGTCCAAGCAAGAGGGCTGGGCCAAGCACAAGTTCCCTTAGCGGGCCAGAGTGAGTATGTCTGCCTCTGAGATGTGGGGGCTTCTTAATGGCTCTGTTTCCGCTTGGAATGTTTTCTGATTTGGGAAAGGGCAGGCAGTTCTTGCTCAGGAATGAAAATACTGGCCCAGAGTTTAGGGACCATTGTAAACCCTTAGACTGTAGTTGTCAGGTGTATCCCCTACAAATGAGGTTCAGCCACTTCCAGCAAACAGGTAAACAGCTCCCCTCGGTCTGGCAGCTCCATCTTTGATTTTGCTTTTGCCTGGTTCTAAGAATGAACACAGTGTTTGGTTTTGGTTTGGTGCTGTGGGTGGAGCCTGGACTCGCGTTCCAGCTGTGGCTTCTGTCCATGTGTGAGTTCCGCTAACCGGTGCACTGTGGCCGCTCCTGCCCACCTCTTCTACAGAATGCTTTTCAGGTTTGCACTTTGTCTTTTAAGACCTCATGCAATGGTTTTAAATTTTGAAACAGGCCTTTGTTTGCTGTTAGCATGTCATGTACACCACACTTTCTTCTGGATCCATTTTGACATTCAACCCTTTAGGCTTCCAGAAGTTGCTTTGGTATTCGGCATCAGGTAAGGATCTAATTTGGTTGTTTCAAGGTGGCTGATTTCCTCAGTGCCATGAATTATTAACTAAATAATGAGTTTCTTTGGTCTAGTTGACTGCAACTGCCTTTCCTATTCCTGCTACCCAGAGAACGGTGCTGATGCTGCAGTGTGCAGTGATTCATGTTCACACAGCTCATTCGGTTCACAGCAGCCGACGTTTGTCACTGTGTTCAGGGTTCCCGGTTCCCGATACCCGTGAGCAGGCCCTTCACCAGCACTCCTGCTTCAACAATATGAAGGTTGGTCAACGCCCCATTGTTACCCAGATCTCCTGGCAAACCCGGGTACACCAGGACCTCATGGAGACAAAGCGGTTATTAGTAAGGCAAAACCAAGGCCTCTTCGTGTAGGTTTTTATGCATCCGTAAACTTTGTTCTTGAAGTGAAATGTTTTGGTGTGTGGCTGGTGTGGTTTTCTGTTAGTGACTAATGAGGGTGACACACGGAAAGACACACATACTCGCCGGGAAGTGTGGACGCTGGCCTCACCAGTAGGGCCATCGGGAAGGCAAAAAAACACACCTGCTAAAAACACAGGAGGTTTGAGTGAGGTCACCAGCTCTCACCCTGGGCCTGTCTCTTGTTATTTCATGACCTTCCTTCTGCCACGGCTTCTCCATCTGTGAGAACGTTGTTGTCATCTACCTCAGATGTGTTAGGGCTAGTGAGGTAACGCCCTGTCTGGCGCTCTTGAGGTAAGCCTGTCCTCGTGGTTTCCAGTCTTTGGTGGTTATGCCACCCATGGGGCTCATCCGTCTTCCATGCATCTCGTCTCCTGTTTTGTTCGCATTTATTATAATAACTAAGAAGTCGTAAGCGTCGCAGTCAGGTTCCACCAATAGCCACATTGGCCCTGGGAGCTACATGCCAGCCCCCACCTCATGGTGCTTTGGGAGGCCCTTGTTCTGTTTGGTGCACAGGATTAGTGGCTTGATTTATTTATAGTATTTTGCAGTTTAAATATTTGTGTATTTCAATATACTGTTTATTTTTGGTGAAATTATGAGACTTTCTTTTAAATTTTTTTTTGAAAAATTGAGTTATAACTCAAACTATAACTCATAAGTCCATGACTGTGAGGTAGTAGTTCTGTGGTTGCTTTGCACATATTCGATTTTGCACAGCTGTTGACCTGTTATTTGTGTGGGTGGAGGCTCCATCCTCACAGCCTCCTACCTATCCTCCCTCTAGTCCCACAGCCTTTGTGCTGCCCGCCTGTGAATCTGCCTGTCCTGGGCATCTGGTGTAAGTGTGACGCAGCCTTTGTCTCCTCGTGCCTCTCACTTCCCAGGGCATAGATCTTCAAGGTCCATCTGGACAGTGGATGAGGGCGATGCGTATGATAAAGGTTTATTCCTCATTGTGGAGGAATAATATTCCACTGCATTGATTTACCACATTTTGTTTATCCAAGTTCCTTTGAAGGTTTGGAGTGTTTCTGCTTATTGCCTGATGTAAACAATGCTGCTATGAACATTTTTGTGTTCAAGTCTTTATGTGAAATGTAGGAGGAGATACTTCCGGATGATGCAGTAGCTTGGTACTTAATTGTTCTGAGGAGCTGCAACTGTTTCCATGTCATTACTAATGTCTAAGGTCCCAGCTCTTGTGCCCTCACCAGCCCTGGTTATTGGCTGACTCTCTAGCCATCCTGCTGGAGTTAAAGAGGCAGCACAGGTGAGGGCAAGCGCCCTTTGATGCACTGTCAGCAGGGTCGTGTCTGCCTTGAGGCCCTGCCCTTGCTGGTCCTTTGTTTCTCAAGTAGGTTCCTGTGTGTGTGTGTGTGTGTGTGTGTGTGTGTGTGTGTGTTTTACTGGGTATTAAACACAGGACCTCTTTTGTGTTTTGTTTTAAAAGTGTGGGCCACTACAGCTACCACCACCACCTGGCTGAACCCAGGGTCTTTTGTATGCCAGGCAGTCATTCTGCTAATGAGCCACATCCCCAGGTAGTGACTTTTAACATAGTTTATATTGTGTGTATAGATATATGTGGGCAGAGGACAGCTTATGGGGGCCAGTTTTCGTCCTCCACCACATGGGTCCAGGGACCAAATTCAAGCAGTCAAGCTTTGATGGCAAGCGCATTTACCTACTGAGCCATGTTATAGCCCAAATCTACGTTCTACAAGTTGTTTGGGGGCGAGGAATGTAGTTCACGTAGTAGAGAGTTTGCCTGAGGCTTTCTCTCCAGTACTGCAGGAATTCAAAAGTGACCTGACTGTAGAGGAAGCAGACAGCTGGCTCGCTCTTTTTCCTGCTGCCGTGTCCCAGAAACCACAGGTCCTAGCAGAGGGAAGGCAGCCCCTGTGTCCTGGCAAGGTGAGCCAACACTGCCGCCTCCTGTGCCGTGTGACGATGTGGTCCCGGGAAGACATCCACTTGTTTACTTAATTGATGGAAAACTCTTAATTTTTAAAAATCATGATGTTGAATTTATTTATTCAACCTTTATTGTACTTTTTTAGGAAGTTAAGAACAGCTTTATTGAGGAAAATAAGATAATTGTATGCCCTCATGATGAGCTTCTGGGCTGTAGAAGGATCAAGCCCTTGATGTGCTGAAAGACTTGGACTCCACTTGTGTGCCCCTTACTCTTTCTTCAGACCTCACTTCTAGAGTTGAGCAAAGATGCTTAATTTCCCTCTAATCACCTGGGCTGCACGTGAGACCCTGGATCCCTGAATCAAGTGTGTTAGTCATAACCCTCTGAATGCTGAAGGACTTCTGTAGCCTGCAGGGCCCTTACCACTGAGCTGTATGATCCATCACCAGGGCGCCACGCTCACTCAGGGAGGTGGGGAGTGCCTGTGAGATGCTGGAGGACTGTAGCTGCAGCTGTGGGATGTCTGCAAATGGCAAATTCCTGAGCTTAGCCAATGTTCCCAAAAGAGCAACTTTCCATCCTTCCATATTCAAGCATGCATTGACCCTGCAGACAAGACCCTGAGCTTGCGTCCACTGCATCAAATGCTTTGTCTCTGAGCAATAGCTGAGTTTGGGCATAGGGCTGTAAGCACAAGGCTGTCTCTTAGGGGTAAGAGCCGCATGGGGATGTGGGCTGTATGTACCAGCCATTCTTAGCGCCACATTAGTGGGTTTATGAATAGTAATAGCTCATCTATGATGGCTAAACCTAAACCATTCCCAGGCCTACAGTTTGGTTTGTTTGAGACAGGGTCTCACTGTTCAGCCCCAGTTGATCTGGAACTTGTAAACTAGGAAGCCCTCAAACTCAGCAATCGACCTTCCTCTGCCGCTCAGTGCTGGAGTTAAAGGTATGTGCAACTGTGCCCCACCAACCCCGGCTTTATTTTGTTGACATTGAAGGCTATGTGGACTTCAGGACACTGCCAGGGAAAGTTGGACTCTGGGCGTCCTAGGTGTCGTTAGAGACAGTCCGGAGGTCCGGTCTGGCCCAGCCTGTAGGTCTTTCTCAGGTTGTCAGTGGTCTAGTTTTATTTGTTTTGTTTTTAGTTTTCCGAGACAACGTTTCTCTATAGCCTTAACTGTCCTGGAACTAGCTCTCTAGATCAGGCTGGCCTTGAACTCACAGAGATCCGCCTGTCTCTGCCTCCCCAGTGCTGGAATTGAAGGAAGTGGGCCACCACTCCTCAACTAGGTTTTTTTTGTTGTTGTTTTTTAGGGCACAAAATCTCACTGTTACCTAGTTGGTCTCAAGTGATCTTCTTACTTTAGTCTCCAAGTAGCTAGGTCTACAGGGTGCCACTGGCCCATCTACATTTCTTTTTATTTACTTTTTTGGTATGTGTATATGTATTATATAGGTGTTTGTATGTATGTCTGTGCACCACATGCATGCAATAGCCCTGGAGGCCAGAAGAGGGCATCAGATCCCCTGAGCCTGGAGTTACAGATGGTTGTGAACTGCCATTCGGTGCTAGGATTTGAACCTGGGTCCTCTGGATGAGTGGTTAGTGTTCTTAACAGCTAAGCTACTTCTCCACCATTGCCATCCCCAGTCTACATTTCTTAAATTCTCGAAGGCATCTTCTCAACAATGAAGTAGGGATAAATACAATGTGAAGTTGCAGAGCCCCTTGCTGGGGGCAGGGCGGGGGTGACAGTAGTGCATCTGTGATTCTCAGCCTTGTCTTCATCCACATAAGCACAGCATGTGGTTTCATGTGACACCAGGGTGCCTGGCCCTCCTCTGCAGGCTCAGGCTCTCTGGAAGTCACTTCTAGGTTACTGAACTACTCAATATTTCTATCTCGTTGTAAGTCAGCTCATAAAGTGTGTTTTTCAATACAATTGCCATTTCATGCATGTAGTGCATATGTGTGTATATGTATGTATATATGCATTGGCATCCTCCTTAAGAATGGCCTTTCTCCTGGTTTAATTCCTGATTTTTCTTTCTCTTGAATAGACTTTGAAGACATCCAGATTGGCCTTTTCCAAGAAGCTTTAGAGGAAGCAAGCAGCTCTCTGGTTTTTGTTTTGTTTTGGTGCTGGGGATGAAACCTTGTGTGTGCAGGGCTGCTCAGCACAGTCCCCAGACTCCTGATGTGCAAAGTTAGTTCCACTGGGTTTCGTTAATTCTTCTCTCCTGGTCTCTGTGGATTTTATATTCTTATGCTTAACCGATTTATACCCATCCAGGTCACACACTTCTGTCAACAGAGAGGGAGGTGCTGGTTGTGGACTCTTGCTCTGATTCTGCCTTTGGCTCCAGGCAAGGCCCTCAGTTGCTGACGGTGGAGCATCTCTGAGGAGGCCTCTCAAAACCACCAGGGAGCAAGTGCTTGGGGTTTCCAGCAAAGGAAAATAGTGAACTGTTGGCCTTGGCTTCAGATTTCGTCGGTCCCTTTATCAGCATCCCTCTGCCTAGACACTGAGCAGACCTGTGAACACCAGCAAGGTGACTGGCCCTGCCCTGCCCCTCACAGGATCAGGCCTCAGACGGAGATGGCACAAGCCAGGAGCAAAGGTGATGGTTGGCCTCTCACTACAAAGGAATGTAGAGCAGCCAGGAGTGAGAACAGAAGCCTCCTCAGGCCTAAAAGGCCTAGGAGTCCTCAGCTGAGTGCCTGCCACAGCCTCAGCCATGAGGGTGACAGGGCTGGCTGTGGTCCCCAGACACCCAAGGGTTTCTGTATATTAAGAAATAGCAGATTTGTTATGTCTGCTCTGTTTGTGGTTTTAATTCTGTTGTGTGATTTAAAATTAGCCATGCTGTTTCCAAGTGCTTGGCAGTTTTTATTTCTTGGCTCTTGACATCCATGTCCATTATATTTGGTGTAATGTGTAGTGGCCTGCGGAAGTAGGGGTGCGATTGTATCTGCACTGTAGAGCATATGACTCTCTTTCAATTTTTTTTTGTTGTTAAATATTTATTTATTATGTATACAATATTCTGTCTACATGCATGCCTAAAGAGGGCACCAGGCCTCATTACAGATGGTTGTGAGCCACCATGTGGTTGCTGGGAATTGAACTCAGGACCTTTGGAAGAGCAGGCAATGCTCTTAACCACTGAGCCATCTCTCCAGCCCCCTTTCGATTTTATTTTAGTATTACTTGGCTTTGTTTTGTTTTGATTTTTGTTTGTTTTTTCAAGACAAGGTTTCTCTATATAAGAGCCCTAACTGTCCTGGAACTAGCTCTGTAGAACTAGTTCTTGTAGACCAGGATGGCCCTGAGTGCTGGGATTAAAGGCATGCACCGCCACCGCCTGGTTTTGTTTTGGTTTTTGTTTGTTGTTTTTGGATATATTTATTTATTACATATACAGTGTTCTGTCTCCATGTTTGCCTGTATGCCAGAAGAAGGCACCAGATCTCTTTATAGATGGTTGTGAGCCACCGTGTGGTTGCTGGGAATTGAACTCTGAACCTCTGGAAGAGCAGACAGTGTTATTAATTAACCTTTGAGGCATCTACAGGTGTGCACCACCACACCCAGCTCCCTATTCTTGTTTGTTTGTAGTCCAGGTCAGCTTTGAACTCGACCCTGGCCTCTCAAGTGCTGGGCTTGCAGCACAGGCCTATGCCACCATACCCAGTCACTAAAGGTTATAAATGTTCATGACTGGCGAGAAGAATTCTTCATCACATTGGATAAAGCCCTCCCTGTGTTCTGGGGACAAATCCATGGTTGTATTCTTGTGTAATGAAAGGTCTGAGCTGTGTTCTCTAAGCGCTGCAGCAGCTGCTGAGGTGCCATCCCACCAGCTGGAGTCCTCCCACCTCCCACCTCCTGACCCCCACGCTCACAGTCTTTACTGCCATGAACTGAAACCCTGCTGTGGTTGGTGGTTATTTGGGGCCTAGTTACTCATACTTAGATGGTGTGCCCTTTGGACTGAGTATGTTCCAGGGAGCGACCCTGTCCCTGCCTCCCGAGTCCCATGAGCAGGTGCCAGCATTTATCTCTCCTAATGGTGTAGTGACCCCATTATGCCCTGGCTAAAGGGAGCAGCAGTTTCTCAGACCTTCCTGCTCTCTTCTTTCTGGATGGTTCTAGGGCCATTGTGCAGACTGTTTTCTGTCCACCTTTTCCAACACCCTTTCACCTGCTCACTGGCCGGCTGTGCGGGAGCTCCTAGAAGTCCTTTCAACCCGAGGTCTTCTGTGGCTCGGTTTTGGGGGTTCCTGCAGCCACACCTGAGTGTCTTATCGCCACCATGTTGAATTAATGCTTTGCTCATCTTACAGGCTGTGCTCTGATGCTCCCATTTCCGTGGGCTTGTAAGGCCCAGACTTTGAGTCAGGTTGGGACTTAAATGACCATGCCTATTTCCTCTGCTGCAGTGAGTAAGTCTGTTCTTTGCCTGGTGGGGAGCTGAAGGGAGGCTGGGAGAGAAAGGGGGTACCAGCCAGAGGGTTGGGCCATGAGGAGATAGAGAAGGGGATGGAGATGGTGGGGTCTGCAAGGGCCGGCCTATGTGGGACTCCACAAACTTCAATGTGTCTGTGTATGTGTAGATCTACTGTGTGTTTATATGTGTATACATGTGAACCTGTGCTGTGTATTTGTGTGTGCATATGAGCCTACTGTGTGTTTGCAGCAAGTGAACCTGTGAGTTTGCATATGTGTGCTTGTGAACCTGTGGTGTGGGTGTGGGTGTGAAGTGGACGCGTGAGCTGAGAGGATCCTGTTCTCAGCATGGCCTGAGCCAGGTGCTCTGGGCAGGTTACAGCTTCGGACCCTCGGCTCTCGCCTGGACTGTCCTGAGGACATGGGTTCCTGAGCGTCTCCACATTTACAGAATCTGGGCTCCCCCATGACACGAAGAAGACTACAGGACTTACAGGGGTGCTTTGTTCACCTTGTGGCTTTGGGACCTTAGTAACTCCCTCCCTCACTGGAACCTGGACAGCATGTTAGAGATCACAGGAAAGCTGGCGGGGACACTGCTTCCAACTTGACTTCATTTCCAAACCACGACAGTATCCTGGAAGGACTCCCGCTGGTGACCACAGTCTCAGAGAATGGGAGGCTGATGGGCTTGTCTGTATGACTTAGGTGGCTGGGACCCAGCAAACCTGGAGGGCCTGCTTCACTCAGCTAACCAAGTGTTGAAGCCGCCTTAGTTCTTAGATCTGTTTAATTGTGAGTTATTGGCATAAAGTAGGAAGCGTGGAAAGTATAAAACGAAGGTAAGATTCCTGTTTCCTCTCCTACCCGGCCCCACCACACAGAGGCAGCCCTCAGGTGGCATAGAATCTTTCTGGAAATGTCTACTCCTGCAAAACACAGCTCCTGCTATCTCAGGGCAAACAGGCTCAACTTCCGGGTCTGATTTCATGCTCTTCTCATGTGGGTGAGAAACATGCATGGGAAGGCAGGGGGACTGGAGTCCCCTGGAGCCTTTAGCGGGTGTCAGGGCAGGTAGGAGTGATCCTGGGAGGGCCTGGAGCCGCCGCAGGTGTTTCTTTTCCTGACCGCGGCTCATGGCCGCGCTCAGGTTTTGCTTTTCACCTTTGTCTGTGAGAACGTGAGCAGAAAAAAGCAAAAGGCACTGGTGGTGGCACGCCCATGCTTCTGGGCCGGGGTTCGAGTCCCCGTGGTACCCTGCTTCCTTTCTGCTCTGGCTCCAGGCCTCTCTTTCGTGTCCCCCAAAGGACTCAGCAATTCCTAGGAGCAAGGTGTTGGCAGATGCGCAGGGCTCTGCCAGGGTCTCCTGTTCCCCTGTCTGTTCCTTCCCTCCTGGAGCCTGGCCTGGGCTCTAACTGCTGCAGGTCCCACTTCCTGGAACCCCCAGCCTCTGGTGACCCCAGGTCTACTTCTATCTCAATGGGTACTTCATTTGTTTTTGTGACAGAGTTCCAGTCACTGTTTGCACCGGCAGTGTGGCTTGATGGCGGATGACTGACCTAGCCGGTGCCAGGCAGAATAGAAGAGTGCCACAGTCACTCTGTCTCACAAAGTCACTGGGCCAAAGCACAAGCAGGTGGATCCCTGTGAGTTAGAGAGCAGCCTGGTCTACAGAGCGGGGCTCCAGGAAAGCTAGATCTACGCAATGAGACCCTGCCTCAAGAAAGAAGTAAATAAGCATCAGGTCAGAGTACAGACAAGGTCTACAATGCTTAGCAGAAGAATGAGAAAGGCTAGACGTTGACGCCGTGCAAACACAAGAGACAAAGGGACCTCAGAAAAGCCGGAGGCCATTGTGAGCCACGTGATAGCTTGCACTTCCAGTCTTCCAGTTCGGAGTGTAATAAAAACCAGGCTCATGGCTTTTCTCACCTGGCATTGGAACTGAGCTAGGCTGAAATCTACTCTGTCCATCCCTCCCTCCCAGCAGGTCACCAATTTCCTGAGCTCGAAGTGACCTTCTGCTCCCGGTATCTGTCCTAGCCCTGGTTTCTCTCTAGCCCTTTGATTCCTTGGCTATCACATCCCTCTCTATAGGTCTCCTGGCCTGACTGTTCCACTGGGTCTTTGACTCTGGCCTTTCCCTCCAGGCTGATCAGGGGTTGATGGATACAGCATTTGGAATCTTTGAGATGCCTGCAAGGACTGGGTACACAGGAGGCCAGAGGCTAAGGCTTTCTTCCACTGCTGTGCTCCACAGCACTCTAGAGACAGGCTCCGAGATTCACCTGTTTCACGCTCCCCACCCCCGGCTCCCCAGCACTGAAGTTACTTAGAACTCCATGTTAGTACTGCTGGCTCCTCCCTCCCCAGCACCCTTCAGGAAGCTTCTTAGCAAACATTTCTGTTTACTATGTTTGAAACATAGTCAGAAAGTACCAGAGAACACCTGGGCTCAGCTGGGCGTGGGGGGTAGCAGCAACCCCTTCTGTTCCCTTGTCCCTTCCCAACTGAGTCAAGGAAATAAATATCTGTGATCTCAGCACCCACAGGCTGAGAGGCAGGAGGATTAAACATCCTTGCTCAACCTGGACTACAGAAGGCAGGTGTCCTGGTTAGTTTTATGTGCACTTGACATAGGTAGCGTCACTGGAGAGGAGGGAACCCTTAATTGAGAAAATGCTTCCACAAGAGCTGACTATAGGCAGGCCTGAAGGGCATTTTCTTAATTATAGTGATTAGTGGGGTAGGCCTAGCTCATTGTGGGTGCCACGCCTGGGCTGGTGGTCCTGGGTTCTATAAGAAAGCAGGCTGAGCAAACCATGATGAGCAAGCTGGTGAGCAGCACCCTTCCATGGCTCTGCAGCAGCTCCCACCTCCAGGTTCCCACCCACTTTGAGTTCCTGCCTTGGCTTCCCTAGATGGGCTATGACCCAGGATTTGTAAACCAATTAATCCTTTCCTTCCCACATTGCTTTTGGTCATGGTGTCCCCCTAAGACTGCAGTTCTATCTTAAGCTGAAAGAGCTCTCCTCTTTGGCCTAGGTCGTTTTGGGGTCCTGTTTTCACATGAACCCTAAATTTGACATAGGGCTACGTTGTTCAATGCTGACATTTCACTGTATGACAGAACAAATTGAGGCCTACTGTTCCCACCCTCAGGAGTGCTGGGGTGAGGCCAGGGCTTCTCCATGCTGGCCAAGTCTCAGGCAGAGTCTTTCCCCAAACTGTCTTTTGAGAGGAAATGAAAAACAGAAGCTAAAGACCTGGCTCAAGCAAGAGGGCAGAAATGAGAACCCTGCCCTTCTCTCATTTGAGGAACAGCTTCCCTGGCCTCTTTCCCTCCAGGCAAGCAGCGCTGCCAGCTTGGCTCTGCAGAGGGCGCTGGAGGACATGTGACCCCGCTGCAGCTTCCTACTGACTCTTTAGGGGGCAGTGTGCCTCCCCCTGACTCTCGGGGGGAGGGGCATTCCCTGAGGAACTCTAGGATCAGGACTTGGACCCACAGCACTCAGGATACCCTGGCTGTGGACATCCAGTTGCCAGTTAATGAGATGGGAGAGGCACTTGGGTGGCATTACTCTGAGCAGTGGTGGGAGTCCCCAGGGCAGAACAGCCTTGGCACTTGTGGGATGCCAGCTCCAGCCTTCCGGAAAGACCTAGTCAGGATGCTGTACACCTCTCCAAGCACCAAGGAACAGTTTCCTGGTACCAATCTGGAGGGAGAGCAAAGTCCACAGACTTTTCTGCTGCCAGAACTCCAGCGACGGGGTTAGCTCTACTCTGGCTTCTAGCTTTTGGCGCCTCTCTACTGTGTGAACCCCCAGTCCAAACCTGGTCTAGATCTTGCCAATTAGGAACTAACTGTCCTAGGGGCTGGAGAAATGGTTCAGCCCTTAAGAGCACTGACTGCTCTTCCAGAGGACCCAGGTTTGATTTGATTCCCAGCACCTGCAGAGTGGCTCACAACCATCTGTAACTCCAGTTCCAGGGGACTTGATGCCTTCTTCTGATCTCCACAGGCCCCTGCCCACACGTGGTGTACATACATACTTAAAGGCAAAATTCCCATGTGCATGAAATACAATAAATAAATGAAAAAGGAGTGACCATCCTACCTCCAGGCAGGCTGCCCTGCCAGGAATGTCCTATCCAGCTTACCCAACAACTCATTCTTCCGGACTTAGAGTCCCACACACTTTATGGCTCTCGGAAGCCGCCCTCAGCTGGTGACAGTCCCTGACGCAAGTTTGGGAGCTTCAGCCATAGTCATGTCAAGCTGCGTCACAGATATTTATAGCCTGTGCTTAACTTCAGAAAAAGAAGCACTTCTTCCTGCCCCACAAAAGCACACTCCGGAACTCTGTTGGTAAAGGCGAAATCCTGGAGAAACACTGCTGCTTGGGCAAGGCACTTTGATGGCCCCCCTCCCCATTTTCATTGTTTTTTTAAAATGTATCAAGTCATCACAATGTTTTAAATACAAGCCTATTTTGCTCATCTTTGAAATTTATTTTTTGCTGTCCTGGGAATTCACAGCCTTATACACATGGCAAGTACTCTGCCACTGAGTTGTATTCCCCAGCCAGCTTTTCCTGCCTGGAGACAGAAAGGGGTCTACTAGTAGCAGAAGAGAACAGAGAGAGAAGCCAAACCCTTAGAGGCCTGAGGAGCCCAAGGGAATCCTCAGTTTATTCAGAAGGCTCTGGTAGGAGCAGGACCTAAGCTGACTTATGGAGGCACACGGAGTGGGCTCAGGAAGAAAGTAATGTGTACAGTGGAGACGGAATTAGGAAGCCCAAGGCTGGGAAGGAAGGCTCGCCAGGGAGGAAGCAGAGGAACAATAGCAAAATCAGCAGGAGCTGAGCTATGGAGGACTCAATAGATGAGGATAGGAAGGGGATCCTGCCCCCCACCCCACCAGACCCCAGGGTTGTCTCTTTCATAGGATTATTTGTTTGTTGAGACAGTTCTATTTCACTATGTAGCTCTGGCAGACCTGGAACTCACAGACATCCACCTGCCTCTACCTCCAAGTGCTGGCATTAAAGGTGTGTGCTGCCATCACAGGCTTCTTCACACCACTGCTTTCCCTGACTACCAGCCCAGGTCCTGTTTCCTGGAGGGCAGCCTGATATGACTCTCAAGTCTTGGAAGCTCTGGTTCTGTGAGAGCTGAGCATGGCTGCAGACTCTTCCTGGACCTGAGCAAGTAGGGAGGTGTCTGGCTTTGTGCAAGTGGCCATAGGGGTATCTATGGAAGTCCCTAGGAGTAGGGGATATGCAGCCTGGCTGTCATCTGTTGCGATCTAGCAGATGACAGGGCCTGTCTTCCAGGTCTCAGCTCCCTAGTTCTGCCACCAGCAGCAGGCAGGCTTCTGCCCTTGCTGTACATAGAGACCCCGGCACAGAAAGGGGCTCTAGAAGGAGTGACCCTGGGGTCCCCAGACTAGGCTTTACCATGCACATGAGAAAACTGAGGTCCAGAGAAGGCTCCAAACCCAGAGTGGCCAGGAGTGACAGGGAAAAGGGTTTCCCGATTTGGGAATGGGATGTAAGCCTCAGCTTGAGATCGAGACTCAGGTGGTGGTGCCCAAACTTTTGAACACGTTAGCTATGTCTGTTGAGCCTCTGTGCTGCCTCCCACTTAGCACCAGCCCTGTACCCTTGTGGAGCCTCTAGCCGGCTCCCAGCTCTCCCAGCACGTCCAGTTCTTTCTCGATATTTCTTCCTTTTTTTTTTTTTAAAGTACTTATTTTTACGAACATTGGTGTTTTGCCCATATGCCTCTTTGTGGGGGTGTTGGATTCCCTGTGGAGCTACAGACAGCTGTGAGCTGGCATACTGGGTGCTGGGAATTGAACCCGGGTCCTCTGGAAGAGCAGTCAGTGCTCTCAACTGTTGAGCCCTCTCTCCAGTCCCATCCCTCACTATTTCTTGTCCAGAGCAGGTGGCCTCCTTGGGATGCAGCTCAGTTTGTTGTCAGTGGCTCTTGCTCCTTCTGGATCCTTTGCGAATCCTTCCCAGGCTGCCCGAAAGGGGCGCACAACGCCCCTCTGCTCCTTGTCATTGAGGTTTCTAGAGGCGGAAGTGCAAGCTCTTTGTCATCCTTCCTCTCTAAAGCACTTGGTGCCTTGGGAAAGGCTTAAGGCTTTGCTCCATCTGGCTTCTGGACTACGGGTTGCTGGTTGTTGAAAAGCC